TTTGTATTTTTTAATTTTAATATCACAGATCCAAGACGTTATCAACAAAAAAACTTATCCACGTGTATTATTCTTGCTCAACATATTAAATATTTTTTGAAAATGTGGTTATTTACTTTGTAGTAAATTGTTTTTAGAAATAACAAAGCATTAACACATACTGTTCAAGAAAACATCAAAGAAATTTGTCTACAAATAAAATAAAGTACATTTCTTTATTTTTGAAAAGAATTTACCACTCACAAAAAGATTTTTATAATAATAAGTTGTCTGTGTGTGAAAAAACCTGGTATGTATATGATACCTATAAAATGTTGCCTAAAAAATGTTATTTCTTCGATGCACCGTCGAAATTTAAAGCAACCTCAATATACCTCGTTAGCTCTATTGCTACTAATTTCGTTTTTGATATCCTAGCACAATATGTGTTCCATATCATTCAAGTTACAAGAAAGAAATGAAAGATTTTTTAAAACTGTTTGAAGCATCTCAGTTTTTTATTATGTTTTTCGAAATAAACCCCAAATTGTAAAACAGATTCTTTATTACATGAATTTAGAAACAAAAGTTCTAGTTCGTAAAAATCTAATAATGAAAATATCTTCATATTATTGCTAGGATATCCTTAAATTTTGGATATATAAAGTAGGTATATATTATGGCATTTTTAATTTTGGATGCAGATAAACGCCGATTTAGCTTTATGTTAAACTACTTTTAGGGGAATAGTTTCTTTCGAAATCGTGTAATTTTAAAATTTGACTTATGATGTGTATAAGTTATGTTTTTGACTTAAAAAAGTTGAGCTGAAGACTAAAAATAACAAAGCACGCTAGAAAAACAAATAACTATTTTAAAAATAATTATAATTTACTATTTTGATTGGGAATAAGCCACTTTTACTTTAAATGTTTATTTTGACGTTTTGATTTTCACCTCGGAAATCATTCTTTACGTTAAAAAAATATATTAAACAAATTTTGTTGTTTAATTTGCAAAAAATTCTTCTAATTTAGTTTTGTCTCATTCATTGAAATTGTCAATATTTTTGAGTGGCGTTCCAGTGACGCCTTTATTGGAAGGTAGTTCATTCGGTTATATGAAATCAATTTTAACTTAAGTATATCCGTTAGAAAAAATCATAGCATATTTCCACTTTGGAAACCGTTCTCAAAATATAAAACATTCTTTAATCAAAGAAAACGCAGATATCGAGCACAGTTTTTTTTATTAGATCTTGCCCAAGTACTTTCGCTCTCAGAGCATATTCAGGGGCATTTCGTCAAAATAACACTATGGTTATGGCAAAACTTAATCATCTATTATATATGGATGATTTAAAAATGTTGGCTTCCACTCGAAGCCACCTAGATCAGACGCTAAAAACAGTAGAAAATTTCTCTAATGATATTAGTATGCACTTCGGTCTTGACAAATGCCGTGTCTTAAATATAATCAAAATAAAGGTTACATACATCGGAATAAAGTAAGCGCGGAAGATTGACCGTAAGCAAATGAAAACTGAGATAACTACTAAGTTTCAAGGGTAAAACAGCTGCTTCGTACACACCTTAACAGTAAACATTTGTTTAAGGTACTAAGCACCTACGCATGTTCCGCGCTTAGCTACTCATTTGGTATTGTTAAATGAACAAAAACGGATATAGAATATCTTCAGCTAACACACCTCCCAAAGGCACAAAAACATCATCCTCAAAGTACAATCGAAAAAAGACACTACCGCGGTATTTAGGAGGTCAAGGACTTGTAGATATAAGTGAGCAATTAGAAAAACAGATTACGAATTTAAGAACTTATTTTCAGGTGCAGGCTGAGACATCTACTCTACATCGCGCGATTTGTGCATTAGATGACACAACCCCGATCAAACTGAGGGAACCAAAAATGCGCATAAACCATCTTACTAAGGACGAAAAAATGCGCACATGGATGGGTAAACTTATGCACGGGCGACATCCCAATGAGGTCAGTCAAGACTGTGTCGACAGTATAACGTCGAACTATTGACATTAGGAAAGATGTTCCCAGAAACAGAAGGTTTATTACTTGCCATTCAGGATCAGGTTATGCCAACCAAAAATTACCTTAAATATATCATCAAAGACCCTCAAGCCTAAAACGACAAATACCGATGTGTATTTCAAACCCAAGAAACCATTAAACATCTTACTGAGGGCTGCCAGACATTTGATGCAACTGAATATAAGGAACGGTATGATTCAGTAGAGAAAATCCTTCATCAAGAAGTAACTATCAAACTGGGACTTCTCCAAGGAAACCATCTCACATATAACTTTAAGTAATATTGGAACCGCACTGTGCTCACAGACCAAACAGTAGCACACAATAAACCAGATCCTGTACTAGTTAATAAACTAACCAGATAAACAACACTGATCGACGTGGCGATACCTAACAACAATAATCTGCGTGTTAAATACAACCAACAGCTCGTCAAGTACAGAGATCTGGAAATACAAATAAGGGAAATAATGGAGAATGAAAAGTACCCAGTCGATACCTATAATTATTTCTTCTACTGGAGTCATTCCGAAGAACCTCCTAGAAAAAAATAAAAAAGCTGGGTCTGAATGAACATCTGTATAAGACCATCCAGAAAACAGTACTACTCTTGACGACCAGATGTGTACGAAAATTTTTGACGATCAGACGATACCTATAATTCTTTCTACTACTGGAGTCATTCCGAAGAACCTCCTAGAAAACATAAAAAAGCTGGGTCTGAATGAACGTCCATATAAGACCATGCTAAAAGCAGTACTACTCTTGACCTCCAGATGTGTACGAAAATTTTTGGGAGATAATCCAGCATACCAAGTCACCTAGGGCTCAATAATATGGAAAGTGCCACACCAGAGCTCAATCCTTTTGATAGCGTACCAAACAGTAGCACACAATAGACCAGATCTCGTACGAGTGAGAGAAGTAAATCTGAATAATAATAACATACATATTTTATGTTTTTTTTTAATAAAATACATATAAAATCAAAGCTTAATGATAATATTGAGAGTAAACTAAATTTAAGAGCAAATACTTACCATGTTGCGAGAGTATCATGAAGTTTTTTCCTGGTTTTTTTCCTCATGATTTATTATGTAAATTTTTCTGTCATCATTGCATGAAATTAATTTCACGTAATCGAATGAACTATCTTGCAATAAAGTCGTCATAGGGACGCCACTCAAAACTATTGACAATATCAATGAGTGAGACAAAACTAAATTATTAGACGAATTTTTTTGAAAAAAAAAATATTTGTTTAATTTAATAATGTTTTGTATTTTGAGAACAATTTCCGAATCGAAACGTCAAAATAAACTAATTTTAAAATAAAACTGTGGTTTATTCCTAATAAAAATAATAAATTGTATTAAGATGACACAAGAAAATATCTTCAAAATAATATTAACTTATTTTAGATTTATATTAGCAAAGGTAACACGCTGCAATGGCATCTTACTAGAGCTCTCTTAACAATGGGGATATAGCTCTGAGAATAACAAAGATGGTGGCCACTACAGTCACTGGAAATGATTTATCAATAGAAAAGAAAGCTGAGTCGACCAATGGGATCATAACCGCACCCCACTCACAAATTTTTCTAAGGTCGTTGCTATGAAGCCAATATTCACTAGGCCTATTACCTATTGTGCAGTTTCTCAGCCACCATTATAAGGGCGTGAGCTTATGACTTTAGCAGAGGTCGCCACCTTAAAAAATATTCCAGAAGTAACCTTATACCTCTAATAAGTAAACAATGTGGATAATAAACAACAAAAAAATAAACAAATAATGTGGATAAACTATCAATATTTATCAACTAAAAGAAATAGAAGATTATCTCAATTTTCGATTTCACATTAAACTACTTATCTCCTTGTGACGTATTACGAATTAAAAAGAGTCGCTTATGGTGAATTTCAACGCTAGATATACACTTGGCCGAAGACAAAAATAGAATACTATTTAAATAATTAGTATTTGGAAATCCAGCATACCAAATGTTTGATCTTAGCAGGTCGATGCTTGGATATCACTGTATATTTATAAATATACAATATAATCAAATTTCAATATAAAAGGATTAGTCAATTCAACACGTATCCTTACTACATACAACCAACAAAACAAAAACTAACAAAAATATCGCATACATATTACGATGTAATGACTTAAATATTAAATAACAGTTTTAAATTTTTCTTCTCAGTTTGATCTAAGTAACTCACCTTAGAGTACAATGTTTCTTCTAAAACAAATCTAAGTCGTAACTAAGCTAAGAGAGTTTTCTAATGCTGGCATCTCACTGTTTTCTTATTTTTTCAACATAATATTGTCTTATAAGATCTTATCATACTATACAATTAAATTAATTCGAATACAAAAGACTTTTGGGAACAGATTTCTTCTAAATATGAATCTATGCCCCGCTTTAAAACAGTGAAATTGACACCTTAATATATGCAAAAAGTGAACAAATTGACATACTTCCTATTAATTAATCAAATAAATTATTAACCATAAACTACCGTTATTTGCATTGCAATTAATTTTTTAAACCAATAATATTTTGATGGTAAATTATAAATATTTTTGGTTTATTTGCTACCTATATCAAAATACCAATAATATGGTATGTTGACTTAACAAAAATGAAAAGGAAAATAATTTTAAAATGAATACCTATCTATTATGATAATACCTATCTATTATAAGAAAGACTAAAGTTTTTAGATTAAAAACAAAAAACTAAACTGGCAGTTTCATAAATATTAGATTTTCGAAAGTTATGGCAAACTAGATGATACTATTCTAATAGTTGTACAATAATATGTACTATAATTGACGTTTTCAATTACAAGATACCAACACGTTATAATTGAAGAAATCAGCTCCCATTTGTTAACAACGAATAAAAATAAATTTTTGAAAAATAAAAACTTGTTATATCTCCATTATCTTCAATAAATATGTATTATATATTTTTCCTCTTTAGTTTACATTAAATTTCTAGTATGTTACATTATTGTACAGTCTTAAATAAATAGAAAAAAATATACAAGAAAAGATACCACTTTTTCGTTACAACTTAAGAGTCTCCAGCTTCTTGTAGACGTCCTCGCATTCTTCGCCTGGTAAAGGGGCGTCACCGGCACCGATTTCGTTGATGCCTCCGGCACTGGCACCGCTTCGTCTCAAAGAACGCTTGTTGCGTTTCGTCTGAGCTTGGATAGTTACCGGGACGAAGCTCTGACCCGTAGTCGTCACATGTACCTGGGAATTTTGGGAGGAAAGGGAATCAGAATTACTTTGGGTATGGCTATTAGTTAGGAAATTATTTGTTAAGGGATAAATGAAACTGTAATTATTTTTATTCGCTAGAGGTTCGGTATGTTTAAATCGGTCATGGTGTGTAGCAGTTCTATTATAATAATTATTGTTATTAGCGTACTTATAATTATAAACGTTTTTCGTGTTACTGTAATTAATAAATTTGAATTGTTGATTAGTCATAGGTGAGTATGGGGCAGGTGGAGGAGTGTTAACAGTAGTTCGAAAGGTTTTTTCTTCATTTTTATTTTCGTCGACACAACTTGCCGATGAGTTTGAGTCTGTGCGAAGACTAGAACGACTAGAATGATCGTTCGACCGCCTATTTTCGTATATTCGTCTCCTCGGTTTATTACTATTAGTATTTGACCTTAGATCTGGGTATCCGTTAAATCGACGATATTCCGAAAAACCGTAGCCGGTGTTAAAGAGAGGTTGACCGAATGAAGGTGGGGGTGGTTGTTGAGGATTATATCCGACGAACTGGTTGATGTATCCGTTTGTAGGATACATGGGCACGTTATTTTGATTGCTTTGAACCAGAAGAATTTTACGTCTACGACCGCTCTGCATTGATGAATAGTCTTTTTCTTGTTGATGATCTATGGAAAGTAGTGAAACAATAGGCGTATGTGAGTTTCTCTCCTCTTGGGGCTGGGAAGGAGCAGAAACAATTGTCTCTGAGGATTTATGTGGTGGTGGTTTGCCTCCAACGTTCACAATACTTGAATCAGACTCAACGAGAGATTGATCCAGATGTTGTGTGAAATTGTCGGAAGTTGCTTGAGTTGAAGTTATCGATGATCCAAGAGAAGCTTCTACATTTTCTCCAGTAAGAGTTGTAATCATGCTGCGGTAGGTTTCCTAATGTGCGAATAAATAAATTGGATTATACTGACAAATCTATATATTTATATATACAAAAGATTATATATATATATATATATATATATATATATATATATATATATATATATATATATATATTAATATGTACATTAATTAAACCAACATGGCAATGACATATATAATGACAATATAGTTATTTTAATTTTTTTTAAATTTTAATATATGTATAACTTGTTTGTAATGTATCAGCCACATACCCAAGGGAAACTACCCCACCCCTCAAATGCAATCGTTAATCAATTAGCCCGGTATGTAACAAGTCAACATAACAAGAAAATCAAAGAAACAAAAATAGGGGGTAGTTAGCCTAGAAAAGAATAATTATAATTAATTAAATAATCATTATATACTTCAAATTAAATAAAGCATAAATTCGATACAGTTTAACGTATACATTTCAAATTAAACAAAGAATAACAATTTGACCTAGTTTGACACAAGCCCGAATGTTTAAGAATTACGAAATGTGAAGCCAATAACCTCTGACTCTTTACAGGGCCTGCATTGGAGTATCCTTCAGCCCCTATCCTGTTTTTTTCCTACCCTCTTGTAAATACGCGAGGGCGAAATCACGACCAATTCGAACTAGTGGACCAGTAGACCTCAAATCCGCTCGCAGAGGTAAATCCCATTAACCATATAGGACGAGTTTATTACAGTAATTAATTTTGGTGGTTTTATTCTTTCGAAAGTGATCCTTCCTCCCCTACCGAATTTACCATACCTACCCTCCATTATTACATGTTTCATACAGTACAACATAAATCACACGACTAGTAAGTAAGACAATTAACAATTATAATTAGATAATTTTTATATTTCTTTGTTATGTCTTGAAAAAGGAATGAAATAAATTCAAAAGCTTGACAGTAAGTCAAAGAGTTTTCTTTGTCTTGTGGGCCAAATAGACTGACTGCATCCTCAAGAATCACCACGATATGATATTTAAATCAACAGTCAATAATATCACCATCTTATCGATATATATACATATATATATATATATATATATATATATATATATATATATATATATATATTTCCCCTTCGTCTCCCCTCCTAAAATCCTTTTAACACTCATTGGCCATTGCCCATTAGTGAGACGATTAGTTCCGATCAGATATTCTCTGGTTCCGATCCTAATATACCTAAAAAGATAGAGGTGGGTCTTCTCGTTTTTTTAATTTTTATCGGAACCGTTTTTCGTAAACTGTAACTAGTTGATTGTTTACCAGTATTCAAATTAGCGAGTACACAAACATATTAGCTATTATCGTTTATGTGTATAAGTATTGAAATAAAAGAACCTAACGAAGGATATATTTATTGTAACTTGAAAAATAAATTAAATAATACAAATGGTACTTAAATAGTTACATTTACATTACACATTATTAAATCGCGAATCGTCTAAATTGACATTTAAAAACATAAGTTTTTCCACTTTTCTTGTTAATCGCGTTCTTCTTTTATTTAAAATTATACCAGATGTTAAACATGTGTTCACAAGGAAAAGATTTTGTTACAATACTACAACATTTTATGAATATAGTGGTTAAGTTAATGGACAGTTCCAATCTCCGTTCGAAATTGTTTGTGGGTAATATATCATCAGACAATTACATGTCGACTTCTTTTATACCTCTCGATACAGGTGTATGTTTAGATGAGTCATGTCCAATTAATTCATCAAAAATACACCATGGACTTAAGTCATCTTTATCAGTTTCTTTTTCTTGGACTGATTGATTTTCAAGATTAACTAAACTTTTCGTTTCATCCATTTTCCATAGTTAAAGAACCAGCTTTTAAAAAGTTTGCAGGGTGGATTCCTGGATATAAACCGCCAACAAGAAAAACTTTGTCAGGTTCATTACTTCAGGAATGTTATGTCAAAAGTGAGCAAATTATTAGATCGCAAGTTGTTAAAGAAGTAGAAAATATCTGTATTACTACTGACCTCTGGACATCTGGAGTAACTGAGAGTTACTTCGCATTAACAGGACAATATTTAACCGAAAATTTAGTATTCAAAACTTTTTTATTAGGCTGCTGCCATTTTTCTGGAAACCATAATCCAGAAAACAGCGATTACTGAAATTATTAATCAGTCGGGTCTAAAACGAAAAGTAAATTTTGCAGTAACTGATAATTCCTAAAATATGGTCAAAGCTATTAAATATGTTTTGTTTTATGATGATTGTGATTTATGATGATGATTAAATTTATTGGTGGGGGACGCACTTAAATGCTGTCGTGTACAAATAGATAAAATAAAAAGTCCTTTTTTCGACAATTCTGCAAAAAAACACATTTCAAAAAAGTACCTTATCTTCAGAAAGGCTGTTAAAGTATTAATTACAACAGAACACAGTTCCCAAACGGCCAATCCAAGACGTGGAAACTAGGAAGAACTTCACCTATTACATGTTAAAAAGAATGACCGAGTTAGAAGAGGCAACCCGTTTCACATTGGTATTAAATAATACAGACTTAGACTTAAACCTAATCTAAATAAAGAACACTGGATTATTTGTTCTCAACTTTCCCAAATTTTACGGCCGTTTAAAGAAATAACAAGTACAATGAGTGACCAAAAATACTTGAATGCTAGTTCAGTGATTGTTATGGTACGCTGCCTGCAAGAATCTTGCAATAAAATTTTAGCAAACGGCATACTTACATCCATAGTATATGACATAGTACAATTACTAATATCGGGTTTAGCAAAAAGATTTAGAGGGATAGAACAGAGTGGCACATTGTCATTATGTACATTTATGGATTCACGATTTAACGTGCAGAACAAAACAAAAAGTTAAGAAGCTGGTTACTTCTATAATTAACGAACAAGAAGATTGTACTATTGAAAATCAACCAGTACAAGAAAAAGAAACCAATAAATATGACTTAAGTCCATGGTGTATTTTTGATCAATTAATTGAAGATGACTCATCTACACGTACACCTGCATGGAGAGTCCATTACAACGGTGGAAAAACCATCGCCATGTATATCCTAACTTAACCACTATATTCATAAAGTATTGTAAATGTGAACACATGTTCAAAATCTGGTTTAATTTTAAATAAAAAAGAATACGGTTAACAAGAAGTAAAGTAGAAAAACTTATGTTTTTATGTCAATTTAGACTATTCGCGATTTAATAATAACGTGTAATGTAAATGTAAGTCCGATTTACTATTTGTATTGTTTAGTTTAGAACAGAATATTTAAAACAGAATATTTAAAAATTGGAGGAAATACCACAGATCTGAGGCTTGAAAACGCAGTCATAAAAGGCTGCAACCAGTATAAATATCTAGGAAGCATCATATCAGCAGATGGCAGAGTTAAGATAGATGTACAAAACCGAATAACCCAAGGGAAAAAATGCATCCGAATACTGAATTCATTACTGTGGTCTAATAAAATAAAGATGCATACCAAACTTCGCGTATACAGAGCAATTGTAGAACCAATTACCACATATGGTGCCGAATGTTGGACGATGACAAAGAATGAACGAGATAAAGTAGACGTTGTGGAAATGGATTATCTTAGAAGGTCATGTCGAGTATCGAGAATGGAAAGAATCAGGAATGAGGAAATACGAAACCGTACAGGAATTAGAGATACTCTTTCAGATAGAATACAAGAAAGGCAATTACAATGGTATGGTCACGTGATGAGAATGGAGGAGGAGCGGTGGCCAAAGAAAGCCTTAATGTATGTTCCGCCAGAAAGAAGGAAAAGGGGAAGACCACCAAATTCCTGGAGAAGAGAAATTACAAAAACAATGCAATCTAGAGACTTAGAAGAGGGAGATTGGGGAGATAGGAAAAGATGGAGGCTGAAATGCGAGAAGCGGCAATCGCCGTAGGACCCCCGTTATATGATGATGATGATTGTTTAGTTTATTTTTCAAGTTATAATAAATATATCATTAGGTAGTTTCTTTCACTTCAAAAGATATACACATAAACGATAATAGCCGTTATGTTTATTTATGTAGGTACTATCTTACTTGAAACTACTTTTAAACAATCATAGTTACTTGTTTATGAAAATTAAAATTTTTAAATGCTTTTTAGCATTCAAAAAAATTTAAATTTTTTTGGAATCCTGAGAAAACTAACAAATATTTTTGAAAAATTTAAATGCAGAATGAAAGATTACATTATTACCGAGGGCCGAAGGTCCCTTAGAATAAACAAAAAGTTTTTTTAATGAGATATTTGAAATTAAAAATCACACTAAATTTTGTTTTTTTTCTTTCATCCCTATAACTTATTAAAATAAACATTATAGAAGTTTTCAGGGACTTTCAGCTCTCGGTAATAATGTATTGTTTCATTCTGCGTTTAATTTTTTCAAAAATATTTATTAGTTTTCTCAGGATTCGAAAAAAATGAATGCATTTAAAAAACTTTGTCCCGAAATTTTGCTCCTACGCTGTTAACGATAAACTAGCACGACCCACCTCTACTTCTCGTTACTCGATCTTTTGACCAGACGACAATCTAGACTAGACGTTGCCAAATAAATTAGTGTATGAATATTTATATATATGTATATTTAAAAAAACTAAGTTAGACAATTGAACATCGCTTCTGTTTTGATACGCCCATTGTTGGTTTAAAGCTGTTTATAAAAATAAAAGGCGTAAATGAAGACAACAAAAGTATATTTCAAATGATTTTATGAGTAAAACAAACAACAACTTATGTCTGCGGCCACCCATCTCTCAGACGTCTTTATGTTTTTTATAAATACCTAGGTCATAGTCGGTGTGGAGTTGTCTGCGCCCCAAGTGGTGGATAGAATAACGCTCTAACCGGTCCCAGGACCATCGCCGTCGGGTAAGTCGTAAATAAAATGTGTGGAAATACTAACAAAAGAACCCTGATACGGAGTTGGTCATGAGATAGATAGATAGATATAAATACCTGGGA